TTTAGCTTCCCCCCCCCCCCATTTTCCAATTTCCATACTTGTCTTTAAATTTGCTTTATCCAGATGGTAACAGATTATTTTCCTTGCACAGACTATATCACCTCTCTATGTGGCAAATAACTCAGTGCAAGTAGAAAAAAAAAGAGTAACGTTTGGTTATTTGTGTCATGTATCTTATTCTTTTCATAATATTCAATTATCCATAATACAATCTGTGCTACCAGTCACAGCGGCCAGGCATATGAAGCTGAGCATGGAACCAGTTACAGCTTATGAACTTTACCTTCCCTATTTGTTTATCAATGGGAATAATGCAAAAGCCCCCTTCTAAGTGCTAAATGAGTCAAATCACACTCCAAGAGGTTTGTACACTCATGTCTATTCCATCATCCTGGCCTTCCCTCATGACGGCAGGTTCTTGTCACCCAGCCCGCAGCGATTTGGCCCCATGATGGCAAGCTCGCATCACCCGGCCCTCAGCCCAAATTTTTCTGTGATAAGACCGTAACATCATCTGGATCTTAGGGGTTAATAATATATTACTAAAGAACAATCAAATTACTGACAAAAAAATTTGGCCTGAGTGGTGGGTAACGTGGACAGACCGTCATGGGAAAATCCGGCTGTGGGCCTGGGTGATGCAAACGTGCTGTCATTATTCTCATCAATAAACAAATGTGCAATGCAGTTTCCATGAGCCTTGACTGGAAGAGTGCCAGTTCTAGGGAGGATGACTTTTCCATGCTCAGCATCAAATTCCTGACAGCCATGACTGGCAGCGTGGGTTGTTTTACAAATAATTAAGTATTATGAAAAGTAACACACTTGTCTTTTTCTTGCACTGACTTACGGACTACCTAGAGGAATTATATTACCATCTTGATAATGCAAATCAAATGAAAAATAGGGACACTAGAAAATAGCAAAAAAGCTTAAAAATGCTTATGCATAAAAAGAGAAAATTATATCATAACGGGAAGGCTTAGCCTTGTTACCACACACGAGTGTTTATGCTTTTGTCAGAGCAGTCATTCACGCACACGAGTGTTTGCGTGTCTGTCGGAGCAGTCATTAATATACATGAGTATTTGTGTGTCTGTCTGAGCAGTCGTTCAAGTACATGAGTGTCTGTGCGTCTGTCAGAGCGGTTGATCACATACACGGGTGTTTATGCTTCTGTCAGAGTGGTTGTTCATGTACTTAAGTGTTTGCACATCTGTCACTGCGGTCATTCACGTACCAAAGTGTTTGCATGTTAGTCAGAGTGGTCGTTCATGTAAGATTAATGCTTGTGTTTTATGCCATGTGATTGCTGTGAAGCAACTGGATCCAAGGGTTAAGCAGGAAATCCTTGGCAACATTATTTCGCAATTACAATCCCTATATCAACAGTCAAAAGGGAATAATACTCTAAACAAGAATTTAGTCTATTAAGAAGCTAATATCAGTAGTAATAATTCTAATACTAATAATGATAAAAATATTAATAATAAACTATAATCATGATGATAATAAAAATAACAACAACAAAAACTAATAACAATGATAATGATAATAATAAAAATAACAACAATAACTAATAACAATGATAATGATAATAATAATAATAAAAATAATAAACAATAACTATAACAAAAATAATTATCATGCTAATAGAATACCGCTCACAACTATATTTCAAAGTTACTTGTGATGCATTAATTATGTAAATAATTATCATGTTGCCACTACTCTGCAACTAAATAACTACTACATTACTTACCGAAATGACTGTAATGATCATCCACCCTTCCCTAAAAGAGCAGAATTTACTAAAATCTGAGAGATTACTAATATTGTACTGTCGGTGAGGCCAACTCACCTGCCGTCTATATGATGCCAGGGCAGCAGCGATGGTGTTGGACCGCTGACAACTTGTACTTTTAGAAGACCACGCTGGCGTGGTGCCTGAGGGGTCAAGCCATTCCTGTTGTCTGCTACTGGAGTCTCCTCCAAGAGAGTCCCAGCCTCTTCTTGCTAGACACAAACTGTCTGTGGGGTCGACCCAGCCCTGCTGACTCCCACACATGTCATCTGTGTCGCTGCTGTCACTCTCCTCGCTCGTCTCAACACCTGTGGAAAAAGTGCTGCCTATTAGCAATAAAAGGAAATGATTAAGTTCAACCAAGATTCAATCTACCTGGGGATTTAGATAAAAAAAAAAAAAGACTTTTACATTATATTTGATGCTTCACCTTCACCCCCCTCCCTCACTCTTATTCCACAGGGAATATAAAATCAAAACCAATTTTCAGCTTTATACCAAGCTTTGACTTGAAAAACTACAGTCACTATTCAGGTTTTGTCCTCGTCTTTCTACTCAATCCATAATCCCTACCTTGTAATGTCATAAACCAAGATTCTCATAAATACAGTACATGTCAAACTTACATTTAAATAAACTATTCTACTGTTCATTGTGATGTATGAATGAGAATAATTCACAGTTCCAAAAAATCTT